GCCGGGCCCGCCGCCAGGCCCGCCGCCACACCGGCAGGAGTGAAGGCGGAGGCCCAAGGGGGGGCCCAACTGCGGGGTACCCCTCCTCTGCCCGTCGTCTCCCCATGCCACACACAGCACCCCTCTTAAGAGCCCCAACAGTGAGTAGGAGCAGCCCGGCCGGGCTGGGGCCGGGGCCAGGGTGGGGCCGGGGCAGGTTCTCTGCTCTGCAGATTAGATCTTCCACAAGGAGCAGATGCCGCTTTCCGCTGCGGCTATTCCTAATGTAGGACAGAGACAGGAACGTCTGTCTCCACTTCCGGCAGCCCACGGGGTCCCCTCAACCCTGGCCCAGGGCCGGTGTCCCCGCTGTCCCTCCCTCCACGTCTTACCGTGGGAACGCCTGGCCCAGCGGCCCCTGCTATTCCCATCCCTTGTCGGGCCTGGTAGGGCAACGGCTGCCAAGCCCGGGACGTAGGGCTGTCCCCTCCACTCCCCACCCTGTGCAGACCGGGCCAGGGACGGAAGCCCAGGAGCCTCGGGCCCAGGCGGGAGTGGAAGCAGCTCGCCCTTTGATTCCGACTCCACCCCGGGCTGCGGAGGCTCAGCTCTGCCCACTGGCTTTCCAGCCTATAGCTGGGACAGACTTCCGCTCCACACCCTGGCTCTGGCTGGCCCTGGCGGGAGCTCATCCTCAGGCAGCGGTCCATGGCTCACAGGGACTCCAGGTCCCACTGCCCCAGGCCCAGCTTCGCCCAGCACAGGAGGGCTCCACGCGGACGTCTACAACGCCAGCGGCCTTGCCCTGGGTGGGGAAAGGCCACGCTGCGTGGTTGGGGTCCCCCAGTCGGGAGGGCCTGTGGCAGCCAGCTTCCCCTCCCAGGCACTAGGGGCCAGCAGGGCCAAAACACGTCAAGAGGACGGCCTCCCCACAGAGCCACCCACGGCCTCCCCTCTGTCCCCAGATCAGGGTTCTGGGCGTTACTGCTCTGCTCCTCCCACCAAGCTGACGTGTCCCCAAGTCCAGGCGCGTCACTGCATGGATGGTGGCCGTGTGGCATCTGTGGTGTGGCAGTCTGCCTATGTCCCAGACC